AACTGTTTGTGTTCGTTTGCGCTGGGATCGTCGGCTGGGTAGCATCTCTTGTTTTGCTTCTGGTTTGACTGGTGGTATTTTGAAAGTTTCCAGTAGTAATTCCAGTGGCAATTTAGGTTCTTGGGATGTAGTATATCGACGTCGTATCTGATTTTTATGTCTAATCCACCATTCATCCCCAACTTTAACCTTGTACATTACAGTTCCATGTCGACATTCTATCAAGCCTTCGGCCCATTTTCTGTTCCTCGGTCGATAATCGCGCACATAGACGGCATCACCCTTGCGGTAATACGTCAGACTATTTCTTCGTTGATGTGACGAATATGGTAACATGGAGTGGTGATGAGTTCGTAGCATTCGACCCATTAGAAGTTCTGCAGGGCTTTTCTTCTGTTCTGCCAGTGGTGTAGTTCGGTATACAAAAAGAAAGTTTTGTATTGCTTCCGGTTTCGCCCCTCCCCCTGCTTTCAACAACGCTCGTTTAAAGGTGTCGACAAATCTTTCTGCCTGACCGTTGGATTGAGGGTGATAAGGTGGCGTCCGTACGTGTTGCATACCGTTTCTCTTGCAAAATTCCTGGAACGCTTGTGAGGTGAACTGACTGCCATTGTCAGATACGATGATTTCTGGTATACCGTGACATGCGAAGATCTTTTCCAGGACTGATACTGTTCTGCTGCTAGAAGGTGGTGTCACTTGTACTACCTCCGGCCATTTGGAGTAAGAGTCCACGAGAACCAAGTAGTATATACCTTCTATCGGCCCAGCAAAATCCACATGTAGGCGGGACCATGGTTTTGACGTGGGCCATGCTCTCGGTGGCTCCCGCGGCGGATCTTTGGCTGCAACTTGACACCCATGACAGCGGTTAACAAAATCTTTTATGTCCTCATCCATACATGGCCAGTATGCATAACTTCTGGCTATCGACTTCATGCGAGCAATGCCCGGATGCCCACTGTGAAACTGCTTTAGAGCTGTCATACGTAAAGAGTTTGGTACGACTACACGTTCCCCAAACATCAGGCACCCATTTACAATGCTGAGACCGTAGCGGCGGCGGAATAATTGCTTAAGATCATGACTTGAGACCGATTTAGGCCAAGAAGTCTTTACGAACTGTATGGCTTCCTGTAGAGTTGAATCTTCTCTAGTTGCCTGTTTTATTTGTTCTGATGTAATAGGAAGCTGCTGGATGGCCAGTGTTAACAATTTATTAACATCGTTTTCCGTCTTCAAAACCGCTATAACTGAATCTTCGTTAGATGAGGGATAGTTGCTTATCAGACGTGATAGTGCATCTGCGTGGCCGAAATCCTCCGTCCGACGATATCGGATGCTAAAGTCATATCCCAGTAAAATCACTGCCCATCTTTGTAGTCTGTTCGCTGAATGGACTGGAATACCCTTCTTTGACCCAAATATTGACAGCAGCGGTTTATGGTCTGTTAGTAAGGTGAATCTCCTCCCGTATAGCATTTTATGGAATCTTTGAACTGCATAAATTAATGCTAGAGCTTCTTTCTCTATTTGTGCATATCTCTTTTCGGTTACGGAGAGAGAGCGGGAGATATGGAAAACAGCCTTCTGTGTTCCGTCCGGAAACTCATGCAGTAGAACTGCACCAACTCCAGTAGCTGAGGCATCAGCTGCGACTAAGATGGGGAGTTCCGGATCGTAGTGTGTTAGTAGCAATTCTGAGCTAAGGAGACTCTTCAACTTTTTTACAGCTTCATCACACTCTGTGGACCAGACCCAGGGATGGTCCTTTCGTAACAGGCGGTTGAGTGGTTCGCGGATGTTGTGTAATGATGGCAAGAAAGCTGAATAGTAGCTAATCATTCCCAAGAAGGAGCGGAGCGTAGACACATCTTTTGGAGCTGGCATCTGCTTGATTGCCCAAATGTTCTCTGGGTCAGGCCGTCGTCCATTTTCATCGAAGATAAAACCCAAGTACTTCACAGAAGTGAGGAAGAACTGACATTTTTCTGCTCGTAGCCGTAGTCCATTGTCGTTGAGCTTCCAAAGCACCAGCCTCACTCTTTGTCTTAACTCCTCTGGAGTAGCTGCGACTATAAGAACATCGTCCAAATACGTAGCAACTCCGGGAATACCAGCTAACATAGTGTCCATGAATTGCTGAAATATAGCAGGAGCCGTCTTGATACCAAAAGGCAACCTGTTATATTGATATAACCCTCGATGGGTATTTATTGTTAATAGCTCGCGACACTCCTCAGACACTTCAAGCTGCAAGTATGCATCAGCTAAGTCAATCTTCGCGAAAACTTTTCCACCGTTCAGAGTGCTGAACAAGTCGTCTGGTACTGGCAATGGATAATGGTGCTCTTCTAGGGCGGCATTCAGACCTGTTGAGAAATCAGCACAAATGCGGATGGAACCATTCGCTTTTTTAATAACCACTATGGGGGCTGCCCACGCTGAATATGTTACTGGAGTAATAACTCCTGCTTCTTCTAGTCGGCGCAACTCGGCCTCCACAACTTGAAGTGAGGCATATGGAACAGGTCTTTTTGGTCGAAAAACTTGCGTCGCGTCAGGTCGCAATGTTAAAACAGCTTTCATGGCGTTGCAACATCCCAGACCTGGCTGGAACAAAGCTCCAAATTCTTGGATTAATCCTGAGACCATCTGTTTTGACTCAGACATCACTTCCAGTTTTTGAGCAGAGCCCGTCTTACGGGAGCTAACAGTTGCTACTTTGTTGCTACCAGACATCGAAGCACTTTTGGCGCAGCCATACTCACTGTGACGATTCGAAGTTGGTGTTTCATTAATCACGTCATTCTTTCTAATGAGCTCAGGTTTAATATATCTGTCTCTGATTTCTGGCTTTCTTGTTGAGGGTTCAATACTTTCGATCTTTTGGCATACACTGCTTAACGGAATCTCTGACAGGTGCAGCTTCTCGAACCAGTCTAAACCCAAGAGGTCAAGGTTTGAATTGTTGATGTAGCATGTGCCGATGAAATGACTATCGCGAAAACCAACGCTGCATTTAATTTCTCCATTCAATTGAAGTCTTCCATCACATGCACTAATTGCTATCTGATTTGTCTTCTCTATGGCAGGGCATCCCAACTTCTGCCATAATTTCTTTGATATTATTGTAATATCGGATGCTGTGTCGATTTGTAGGCGTGCCGGCCGTGTATTAATCGTCAGATCGATATATTTGCGAGGTGCCGGAGTACTAATATGATATGCGGCAGTAACACCCAAAGACTTAGGCTTGTTGCGCCGTCTGGGTCGACTATGAGATCTGGGTTGGTTGTTGCGTTTGCAGTAGCCATCTTTGTGACCAACAGTATGGCATCGACGGCATTTATGCTGTTTGAATGGGCACAATTTTGCAAAATGCCAGGAGCCACAGTGCCAGCAGGCTGATGGTGGTTTATGCTGAGGATGAAGCGGTGCGGTTGATGTCGACGGTACTGGATGCACCGCATGCACTTCTGCTTCATTTTGGCTGCCAGACTGCACCAAGACGGTATCGTTGTTTATGTTGATTAAACGCTGATATTCTTCACCGACGTCTTTCAAAGTCATCCGTGGATCTTGTTCCAGACGATTTAATAGACGTGTGCGTATATCAGCAAATTTGGGAGACTGCAAACCACAAATGAAAATCAACACCTTGAACTGGTCTTCTGAAAGCGATTTCAATTTGAAACGTTCACACGTGCGATTGACTATACCCAACTGAGTATGGATATCATCATTTTCGTTCAGAGATAGTTTCATGCAGTGATATCGAATGTTGAATAAAGATCTCTGATCACCGAACTGATGACGAAGGGTATGGACAGTTTCATCGAATGATCTTTCACTAGGCTTCTGTGGGAGAATTAAGTTGCAATATTTGTCTAGCTCATCAGCTCCCAATTTACGAAGTAGAAGCCGTACTTTCCAGGCCTCATCTTTATCCGCAAAGTCTACTCGAAATAGGTCTTCATATCTGCGAAACCAAGTGTCAAAAGTGACGTTCGCATCTGGATCATAAACAAATTCTGAGATGCTGCTACCAATGCTGTCGTTGGCTGTAGATGAATCGGCAGAGCGTGATATCTGTAGACCAGCAAGCATTTCCATCAATTTTAGCTGCTGTTCCATTAGTTTCTCTAAACGCCGTGAGTCCATCTTGAACAAACCCGTCGCCAAATTTGTTATGTATGTGAATATGAGGACCTTGTAGACTACGAGCGAATCTAACTAATGCGCTGGCTAATCTGTCTTAATCGCACGTCAACAACAACAACAATAATACCGCAGGGCACGCAAGACAAATAAAAGAGAAGACTGGACGTTGATATGAGAGCTTTTACTGTCTCAAACAACAGTCGAAAATGTTAAACAACAACTCCGTATTTATACAATTAGAAAAATCAATGTCACCTTTTAAAAATATTAACGACCTTGGGAATTCAGTAATTTAAATCAATAATCACGCAGATGCGTGAAATCAATGATTATGCTGCGTATATATTACAGGTGACAGCCGATCACTCAACAAATGTGTAGGAGAAAGTGAAGACAGATCAGGCGTACATCAAGGAGGCTGTCGAATGACATCGCACGCCAGGCAATGCCTCGAGTGGAATCCAAACCGGAAGCGACGAGTGGGTCGTCCTAGGATGACATGGAAGAGATCGTGTGAGGAAGAGATGAGAGAGTTTGGTCAATCGTGGACCCAGCTGAAGAGGACGACAGAAAACAGAATAAAGTGTAGGTGTGTTTTTGAAGCCCTACGTTCTACTCGGAACGCAAGGGAATAAAAAATAGACAATAAAATAACATGCTATTATTGGCTTCAGCAGAGCTACGGCACCTGAGAAGATAGCTCGTTATGGAACACACCGGAAGCATAGAACAGTTCAGAAACGGAGGAGAGTGAGTACCAAGAAATCGTAAGGCTTCTACAAGTTTGTCGAAAAGTATTGGATATTGGATGTTTAAACTTTGTTTAGTCAAGCTATCTCACGTCTGGCATCAGACAGTAGTTGTTGAGTGCGCTTACTATTGTGGTGGATCTCGTCGGCAGCATGTCGGATAGGTAAGGTTGTCTGTTAGTCTTCAGGCTTTCAGATGTCTCTTGTGAGTATGTTAGTCGACTCAGGGATTTTGACAGTATGCTGTTTGCTTGGGGTTGTCAGCCAATTGTTGTCCGACGGACAAAAGTGTGTCGTGCAGTTGAGACAGTCACAGTAATTAGGAGAACGATTTGTTAGTCTTCGAGTAGCATAGGTTAGAATACCATGAACTGGTTCACGTTACAAACATACAAAGTGGGCGTCAGCTTTGACTAGTGTGTAGTGGCATGAAGTGGTTAGTTGTATCCCGTGTGCACTGAGTTGCTACGGTAATTTCCTGAGAGCGGTCTTAGAGATAAATGGATTTCTCCAGTGGTGCAACCTCCTGGTTTGCTTTCTGCGGCTTCATGGGACCGTCAAACTTTGTCCGGAGTGGTATCATGGGTTGTAGATATTGGAGGTATTTCTCGTCAGTATGCCGTTATGTCGGACGATAACTGATGATGGATCAGCTAATTCGTCGATATATACTCACAGGTCATATTCAATGCGAGTGTGAATAAAATTGCATACTACAATATTTATGACGGTCATTTAAGCACTACTGAATTAATCGGTTGTGTTTTGTAGAGGGTTTTACGGACATCCGTGTGGACGTGGAGCACCTGGTGGTCGGGGAGACCGAGGTGGATCAGACAGGCCTTATGGAAATGGGTGAGTGTGGATTGATTTGCATGATTTCTCGCCACTGACGTTATCCGTGTAACCGCCACCCTGTACGTGCAAAACTGAGAAGCGTAGAAGTATTTCAGCGCATACCTCGTCAATGTCTTTCTGGTGTGGTTTCAATTCCAGTTTGGAAGCAGTGTAACTAAGATATCCCATAGGCTGAACGGTTTCATCACAGAGTGGTCACTCGAAAAGCCATCTGAACTTTGGTGCATCAAGCTTATTTGGCCGAAATTGAGTTGTCTAAACACACTGAGTAGTCGGGCTCGACTTGTGGTGTGTTTTGGTGCTGGTCGTGCACGTTAACTACAGTTTGACAGTTCCTGAGAATCTGTTCGGAACGGAGACTGATGAGATGTGGCTAACATGAAGGATAAAGAGTGACTGAATTGTCATTGATTTTTGTCCTGTGCATTTAGCTACGATGGTTGGCAGTTGTTTCATGAATGAGGAGTTAGCGAGAAGTAGTAAGTGTCTTTTGTGTTCGGATACGTATTATGTAGTCCGCTGTCATCTCCCATGATATATTGTCAGATTGATTTTTCAGTCAGCCTCCACAGATTAGAGAGTAACACTGTTCGTATTCGTGGTGTGCATAACTACTAAGATGTTGTTCTTCACCCTTCAGGTCACGCGTCAACATTTCAGGACCGTTAAAGAAGCCTGCTGAAAGAGGTCATTCAGCGTAAGTTTGTGACTGCTGACAATAACTCGTAATAGTTCGTGTGGTTCTGCATGGAGTTCCAATGCACCTTGTGAACGGGGTGATATTCCGTCGTCTTCGGAGGGCGAAATTGCCTCGGAAGCTGCTCGCCAGAAAAAGAGCCATCCAGTTCAAGAAGCTATGTGAGTACTATTCCTGTTGTTTCTTCAGATAACACGACATGTTTTGTCCTAATGCCTAACTAGCCTTCGTTTCTTTGTTTCAGATTTGACATGTCTACGGGGATTTCGAAGTAAGTTGACGTCAAATAAACTCTAACAGTATTTGTCTTCATTGCTTTTTTCGGTAACGCTCCCGAATTGACTATTTTTCAGACTAAACATACAGAAGACACTCAGAATGCCGAATAGACCAGACCAAGGAGGTACAATTGGCAAGAAAGTCAAAGTCACTTCAAACTGTTGGGATTTTTCTTTTCACCACAAAACGGTATATCTTTATTTTGTGGAAGCGAACTCAGTTCACCGATTGGAAGCTAAGGAGGGCAGTAAAACTGAGATAAGAATGCCACCTAAAGAGTTGAGATCTTTAATTCAGCAGGTAGCTGACTCGTAAGTACCATTGTGTTATTGATCAAATGGATTGTTTACATATGTAACGGAACTTTCTGTCCCTTAATTATTAAGCTGAATTGTTCCTGACTTTCGGTCAAGTATTGCTTGCTTGTCAACCGAAGGTTCGTACACGTATGGGATAACTTGTTCCATGTCCCACACCATTCATTACGAGACTTCGGTTACCATCAGTGTTGTTTAAGGAGAATTGTTGAAGTTGTTGGTTATAGCTTGTATTGATGGCAATGGTATCTATTCATAGACCTCATGCTAAACAATTGTGCTTATTTCACTCTCTTCTGCAGTTTACCAGATACGATTATATATGATGGCGGTCATGCCATATACTCTGAAGATCCGTTACCTGGTGTCACAACGGACCCCGTAGAAAGAGAGATTGAGATCAAAGAGCCGTTTGGTCGGGACCGCCTTCTTCTCAAGTACCGGATTATGGAAGTGCAGAAGGTGTCTACTTCCGACATCAGTCATTTCATAACGAGTCCGAAAGCGAGCTCAATGAATATGCCTCAAGTAAGTCTGGATATGTTTCAGATTTGTCTCTAGGAATGTATCAGATTATTAGATTGCATCTTGAAAACAGTGTCAAAGCAGTCGTTTGTATCCGTTGGACGCGCAGCCCTATTTCAGGGGACACCAACTAAAGTGGTTGTGGATAAGCTTCTCACTATTCATAAAGGTTTTATAAGTACTGTGAGACCCCAGTGGAAGATTCGTGTGAACTTGGACATGGTAAGTAGTGATACATGTTCTTTTTACATAATCACAGACGTGCAAAGCCTACTTTGTATCTGGGAATCTAGCGGACGTCATGTACTCGAAGTATGGAGACGATATGGCCAGATGTAGCACTCAAATGGCGTACGACTTGAGAAAGATACGAGTTGAGACTGATAAATTCTACAGGAGCGATGATGGTATGCATGTTTTCTGTTATACCTCATACATTTTAGGACGTGCATATTCCCGACGCTTCACCGTGCACGGGATATCATCACTACCAGCTGATCGTTTGATGATTGAGGGGTTGAATCAGTCCGTGGCTGCATATTTCAAGGAGCACCATCATATCACTCTGAAGTATCCAGAGCTGCCATGTGTGAAGGTAAATTTCCATTTCAGTGATTATTTTTGTAGGTTGATCAAAAGCGTGAAGTGTATATGCCGATGGAACTGTTAAACATTTTGCCATATCAAGCTCCTAATGCGAGTAAAGCCGATGTTGCGAGTGAAGTTATCCGTTGTGCAGCAATTCGACCACAGGAGCGGTTCAGAGAGCTGGAAAATTTTGCCAATAATATGCTGCAGTAAGAGTATTTTATTTATGAGTTGATACTGCTGGTCAGTACTAAAGTGTAATGTTGCTTATTGATGCAAGAGTTGAGGGGAAGCATGTTGAGATCGACGAGCTTTCGATGATTGATTTTTTCGGCATTCCATGAAGCTTATAGCTCGACACTCACTGTTGTAGCGCATTAAAAGGATGGTGAGAAAGTAGAATAGGTAGTAAGTTACAATGCAAACCTTGGATACTTTTGGGGATTTCCGAAATATCACTCTTAGCTTCTATAGAATCATTGGTGATGTCAGTGGTAGAGTCCTCCAGAATGGATGGTGAAGTGCTCAAGATAGTGCTACTTCAAGTTGTAGTCGATAAGCTATGGATCTGTAGACCCTTCCAACTACAAGCCAACTCAGTTTTCCCATGACTAGAAATTCTAGTCTTCATTATATTCCTGCATAGAGACAAGTTGAAGGTGAGAACGGAAGCATACTATTAGACGAATGATTAGTTATAATTGTATTTCAATGGTTGTTCATGCACAATGGTAAGCTTTTGATTTCGAGCAAAATTGCCACCAGCTTATTGGATTTGAAATACAATTACACTTAATCGATCTATTGCACAATGCGTAAACTTTTCACTGATATTATTAGATGAGCGCTTTGCGAACGTTTTGTTGACAAATCTGATGTCCGTTGTGTCAGCCGTAGTTTTAAAATTTGAATAAACGTGAAGTAAACACCGCAGTCCTGGATAAGTGCCGGAGATGCTTGACGTAACGCCTACCTACAAAGCTTATTGTTTGTTTTCCAGGCATGCAAGCAGATACGACATACACTGTTTTACACATAGATTTGATAAGGACGCAGAATGTGGCGGTGTCTAGTTGGTAATAGTGGGTCACGAGTTATATAGTTGCGCAGACCTGCAACGAGTCGAGCACGACAAAATTAGAGCAGTGTTTGTTGACCATGTGACAGTGAAGAGGACTTAATTGTAGAGTAAGTATGCTTGAATGCAAGTCTGGAGCCAATTATGCAGGAAAGTGTGTAAACGAAGTTAGTCTGGAGCCAGATTTTATGATTTACTCAATTCATTGTTTTGTAGTTATGAGGTTTTCTTTACATGCTATTTGTTCCATTTCCTCCCAGGTCCCACCCACTGATTAAACAATTTGGTTTAGCGATTCAACCGAGGCCAGTGGAAGTTAACGCACGTGTTATCCAAGCTCCAACTGCTGGTTTTGGTCGTTCCGGTGTGCGACAACTGACGCCAGGTAGTTGGATCACACCTGGCTTTCTTCGCCCTGCCGGCGAAGGAGTAGAATTAATGTGGGCTATACTTAGCGTTCCGCCTAATCAGGTATGTTTTCTACTCCGGTCCAGCATAAGATTAGTGCTGTAACGAGGATGAGTTGTGCAATCACTTGGGCATTAAATTGACTTGGTCATTTGTCGATTGTATCAACATCGAAGGGTCCCTCGCCTAGTTTCATGACAGTCCACCTATTTCATTGTTCACTGCATTACGTCGGTGGCAATATCATCATCTTTTATTTGTCAGTGTTTAATGCTCTGTATACGAAGCTGAGGTTTTGTCTGCCTTTTAATAAATTGATGAAATGTTGTCAGATAAGTAGAGTAGTCTGAGAAATGTGCACTTAATTCTGGTTTGTTGTCGAAAGGCATATGTTATTGTTGAAAACCGTTAGTCTCCTTTATAAATTTGGATAGTGTTTTTAGAAGACGAATATTGTCTGAAAAGTGTGTATTTGCGCAATACATTTGGAAGAACCTCATGTTATTGTTATTGTCAAATGTGAAGGCGAGAACTGACTGTTTCCTCCTCTTGCCATGTTTTCTTCCTAGCGGTCTCATGGTCATGTACAGAAGGTGATATCGGAATTGCCTAGAGCGGCCAGTCGCTTTGGTGTTCGGTTTAGCCCTCGACCGATTGTGGCACAGTGTCCGAGAGGAGAACTTAACAGGAGGTTCGAGGAGTTTTCCAGACAAGGATGTTGCTTCTTACTTCTCATCCTGTATGATGAACAGTCCTACTCATCCATTAAACGTCTGAGTGACCTACAAATGGGCATTCGGACCCAATGTGTACGAGGTCGTACTCTGGACAAACCGAACGTTTTCCGTAAGTGATTACTGTTGTTCACATGTAGCTTTCAGTGTGTTTCTGTATTTCGATGAGCTTAATTCGGTTTTCTGCTTTCAGCTAACCTGTTGCTCAAACTGAATGGGAAACTCGGAGGTGTGAACTGGCAAATTCCTGATTTGATTAAGGACAGTCAGGAGTTGGTTATGGTTTTCGGAGCCGACGTCACTCATCCGGCGCCTACACAAACTCATGAAATTCGGAAGTCAGTAGCTGCTGTTATTGGTAGCATTTCACCCGATCTGATGAGATACGGGGTAGTTATCCGTCAACAGGCAACCACAGAAAAAGGCAATAAGTCGTCTAGAGAAATAATTGACAATATGCGTCTGATTGTCAGTGAGCTACTCCAGATTAGTTTTCATCAATGACCGACTCTACTGACTTACGTTCCCCTTCTTCCCGTTGTACGCTTTCGTTCTTCCTTATTATTATTTGTGTTTTGTTGTAGCTTTACCTGCGAAACACGAACGGGCGTTTTCCAACGCGCATGATATTCTATCGTGATGGAGTTTCGGAGGGCCAGTTCGAAAATGTGTTGGTGGAGGAGTTGGCTGCGATTCAAAGAGCCTGCGCAGATATTCGTCCTGGTGAAGAGCCTGCTATCACTTATATTGTTGTGCAAAAGCGTCACCATATTCGATTTCGACCATCTGACCCCAGGTAAGGTATTCGCTCATGATGTTTTCTGTGTACCTACTACACCTTATTCGTGTCTTAACGGTCTGTTTGAATGCTTTGCTAGGGCAAGAAACGTGGAGCCAGGAACGGTGATTGATACAGATATCACACATCCCAGGGAATTCGATTTCTACCTCTGCTCTCAGGAAGGGATTCAGGTAAATTGTTTCCTTGTGTTAATACCATTACTTTTAGGGTACATCGAAACCTGCTCACTATCACGTTTTGTATGATGATAGTAACTGGACATCGAATGCTCTGCAGATGTTCACCTACCACTTATGCTACGGGTACATGAGGTGTTCCCGTAGTGTCTCGTATCCAGCGCCGACTTATTATTCTCATTTGGCTGCATTTCGGGCACGTGAGTGGTTATCGGACATAGAGAAACCAGAGATTCTGTTAGATGCTGGTCGTTTCAAAGTTCACAGCAGTCAAGTTGATGGCATGTTTTACTTATAAACAGATTTTGTTATTTTCATATAAATTGTATTTCCTTTTGAATCCATCTTCTCTTTTCGAGTTAACTGTAGTTAGTTAGGGCTACGGTGATACAGCATCAACGTAATACTGATAGGAAACCTTGAACACTTCACAATTCGATGGTTGATTCGGACGTTTTCTG